CCTGCCATTTAATTCTCAGTACGAGGCGAAACCAACACTGCTGCACGCAGTTCAACCGTTGTTATTGCTCCTTCGCCCGAACAACCGATTCATGCGATACGTTACCGAGGCAAAGTACAGAGGGATTTTTAGACAAAGAATGACTCCGTTCTCAGTCCAAATATTGGTCAGGTTTCGAAAAGCACGCGAGTATCGGAAAAACCTTTATTTAACTCTGACTGGATAGCGCTGGAGATTATTGAGTCGAGATACTTAAATTAGTCAACCGCTTAAACGGCTTCACCTCCGTGTTCATCTAGTAGATCAGCCGTACCGGATGTTGCCATCAGGTGACAGAACCTGCTTCCATACAATTCACCGTGGCAGTATCATCTGCGAACTGCATGTAAGCCGGATATCTTGATGGATATCTTGAACTGCGCCTTCATCTGAGAATGAGACCTTCGTCTGTGCAAGGGTCAGCACTGTTTCACAGAAGAAAGTCGAGAAGAAGGTTGGACAGCAAGGAGAAAGCATATCTCTACGGCAAATTCCACAGTTTACAAGAAACAATTATGATAGCTCTCCTTCAACTTTGACAGTAGACATGGTTGCTGCACGCATCTCTACGAAAACAGAAATGACATGATCAGACATCTCATAGCATTTCATGATATTCCATATCGTTAGACGATGTAGTGAATCAAATGCAGTTTTAAGGTCGAGGAAACCGGCAAACCAAGGCAACTGTAATGTTCGCATTGCTTAAGGACCTCATGCAGAGTGACAAATTCGTCTAGGTAAGAGTACCCCATCCAGAAGTTTGAGGGAGTTTTCTCTCACCTATCTTCCTCATGAAGAACAGTTTCCCGCAAGCTAACAGTACGGTAATACCACGATAATTTGAGCACTCGGTAGTACATTCTCCTTTGAAAATAGGGAAAATAACTACAACACTTCCATTCTACTGCGAAACGTTTCTAGGTCTATATTTAATGAACCAGGGCATGAAGCTTTCCTATCATTCCCGTCCCTTCACGATTAAGTTCAGAGAATTCTATTTACTACGCAGGCTTTCTTCGCCTCGCGGTGCAGCAAGGCATTTTGGACTTGCAGTTTTGTGGGTAGAGCAGTACTAACCTCCAGCATCGGCAGAGAACTTAAATATCGAATTTAAAGGGCATTCGTCAAGCAGCTGCTGGAAGCACTCAGCAAAGTTTTTGAGGCCTTTCTTTTAGCCTGCCGCAAGACGAAAATGCATACTTTGAAATTTATGCTCATGACGAAAGTTTCATAGTCGCGCACAGAGAGGTTTCAAGGGATGTACGGAATGAAGGATTTAATCAAGCAACTGATGCAGATGACCATTTGCAACTGTATCAACTCAGACTCCGGATCAAATGACAGCGCGCTGACTTAGCGATCTTGCGCATTCACCAAGATGGAAATATAAAATGAAAATTATTGAAATTCATAATTTGACAACGACTTCGCACTGTACTCGCACAGATATTCCATTAATAGATAATATGAAGGGCTTAGCCAAGAC